TGGCCCCGCCCTCGCACAGGCCCCGCCCTCACACAGGCGTCACCGCGGCCCCGCCCCAGACAGGCCCCATCCTGGCCCCGCCCTTACACAGGCCCCGCCCCTGGTCCCGCCCTCACATAGGCCCCATCCCTACCACAGGCCCCACCTCTGTCTCCACCCTCACACAGGCCCCAGCCCTGGCCGGGCCTGACCCTCTCCCACTCTGCCCTCCCACCAGGTGTGAGCTCACCTAACACACCTCACACCTCCTTCTGCATCACAGGGATCCAGATGTGTGGCCACAGGGCCCGGGGCCTGGAAGGGGCTTCTGACCTGGAATAAACTGCCCAGCCTGTCTGTCTGTCTGCCCAGCCTGCCTGTCTGTCTGCCCAGCCTGCCTGTCCTCCAGTGTATGCGGGAGAGCAGGGCGGCCAGCAGGGGTCAGCTTGGGCTGGGAGAGGGCGGCCAGGCCTGATCCACCGGACCAACTCGGCAGACCCAGCCCACCCCCTCCTCCCCCAGACCCAGGGGTCCAGGCCCCCAGCCCCTCCTCCCTCAGCCCTGAGCCCCCTTCCCACAGGCCTTCAGGTGGAGTCAGCCCCAGCCCCCACCCTCAGTCCCAGAAGTCCTGGCCTCGGTGCATAGGAGGCTACAGCCCCGATTTCTCAGAGACTCTGGCATCTAACACCTGTCTCCATCATGGAAAAAAAATTCTTGGACAGCGATATGAGTCCCTAGCAGACAAGACCCCCCACTTCCCTGAGGGTTACCCACGGTTGGCCGCAGCCTGTCCTCCTTCCCTCTTCTTTGATCCCTGTCCCGAGTCCTCCTCCCAGAGTCACAGTAACTTTCAGTCACCTTATCCCTAACCCCGAGGGACCCATGCCTCCCCGGTCTGCTTCCCTCGGCTTCCATTTAATCCATCGGCCTCCCCTGAGCCCCTGCCCAGTGCCAGCCCTGACTGAGCAGTGACCCCTGCCTCCTGGGACTCACAGTCCAGTGAGGGGAGCAGATCTGTCCCCTGATAGTGCTGGCTCAGATGGGGGCAGGAGCCAGGGGGCTGCAGGAGCCCAGAGGGCTTGTCCGATCCAGCCCCAGAGGTCAGGGAGGGCTTCCAGGAGGAGGGGTGTCTGAGCTGAGACTTAAAAGATGAGGAAAAGGTATCCTATCGGAAAGGGAGTTTGAAAACTCCTATCATAGACTTAGTTCCAAACAACAGAAACCACCTCTGGGCAGAAAGGGGATTTTGCGTCACTCCGAGAATCCCAGGAGTGATGTGGAGACCCAGGATTGGAAAGTGAGTGAGCACACTGGCAGCTAGCCAGCCACGGTAACCGAGCCACCATGACACCACAGAACCGGTCCGATGAGGACACGCTCATGCCTCGATGACCACTGGGCGCGAGTCATCTCATCCCGCTGCCTCAGAAACAGGATGTGGCCGCTCTTCTCATCACCCGTTGCTTGGAACTAATCACTCAGCCACTCAGCAGCAAATGACCACAAGCATTGTTTCGCTCTCCTGGTCCCTGTGGGCCGGGTGTGAGGAAGGGCTCCATGTTGTCCTGGCTCAGGGTGACACAGAGTAGTGCCTGGTGCAGCGCTTACAGACCGGAGCATCCCTGTGTGGGCTCCATACTTGCCGGCTTGGGCTTCCCCACAGTATGGCTGCCTAGGGTAGTCAGGTTGTTTCCCTGGCGGCTGACCAGTTCATGGAGAGGATTCTGGGGGCCTGGACAGAGGCTGCATGGCCTTTTCCACCTCCTCTTGGGGTTCACACAACATCACTCCTGCTGCATTCTGCTAGTTACATGCAATCCCCAAACTGCACAGAGCTGAGAGGTGGGGCCTGGACCTCACTCTGGCTGGAAAGTGTCAAGCTCTGATTATACGAGCGAAGACATATCATCCCAGCCATCTTTGGGGACTAGAATCTGCCTCAGCTGCCAGGGCCGGAATAAATTAGCCAATCCCTGCTTCTTTTGCGATTTTAGTTTCTTTCTAAAGTACAGTAGTCGTGGGGAGCAGCAGTTGGCATAATGGCTATGTTGCTGGACTCCCATGTAGTTCGAGTCCCAGACCCAGTGGCTTAAACTCATACCGGGCGTGTGTGTGTGTGTGCCCAAGATCCCGAGAAGAGAACAGAAGACAAGGGATTGCAGCGTGACCATCCCCCCTGGGGGGTGATTTCTTGCTTTCTGTCTCTCCGTCTCTCTCTGTCTTTCTGGCAAGCGCACGCGCCCTATAGCAAAAACCTCTAAAAAATAAATAAGTACAGTAGTCGGGGCCAGCAGGTGGCATAGTGGTTAAGGGGGGTTAAGTGGTTAAGGAGCACTGGGCTCCTGCATGGTTGACCACAGTTTGAGTCTTGGACTCAGCGGCTTAAAACTCACACTGGGTGCTTGTGAGTGTATGCACAAATCCTCAGAGGAGAACAGAGGAGAAGGAATTGCAGCGTGGCCATCCTCTCCTGGGGATGGTTTCTCACTTTCTCTCTGTCTCCCAGCAAGGACACACACCCTATAGCAAAAGTCTCTCTTTAAAAAAGTACAGTAGTCACCCCTTTATCTTCGGTTTCACTTTTTGCAGTTTCAGCTACTCATGAAATAAGACAGTCAGATACTTTGAAAGAGACCACATTCGCTTCACTTTTAGTACAGCATGTAGTTAGAAATGGTTCTAAATGACATTATTTACTGTTCTTCTCTTCCTGAGCCTTATTTATAATTTTTGAAAGAATTATTTATATCATTTTATTTTTATTAGTTTTTTTTTTTTTTTAATTTGGCCAGAGAGAGAGACAGAGAGGGGGAAAAGTGAGAAAGTAAACCACCAGGTCTGGGACTCAAACCGTAGTCGGCTGTGTGGGAGTCCAGTGACTTAAACACCACACCACCTACTGGCCCCATCATATTTATAAATTAAACTTTATCATAGTTGTGTATTGAGGGGACTTCAGAAAGCTTGCTGAGGGAGGGCTGGCTTCATTGCCTAGTGGTTAGGAGAGTTAGATCACACTTGGCCGACGGCAGTTTGAATCCCAGGCCCTGTGGCTTGAAAAGAGCACCAGGTGGGGCCGGCAGGTGGCATGGTGGTTAAGCCAGCTAGACTCCCACATGGCTGACTGCAGTTCAAGTCCTGGACC